CTGATCGACCTGGGCTGTGCTGAGAGCAGCCTCTGCGACCTGAAAGGTGCTGGGGGACACCCCTTGGGGTGGGATGTGGGGTGCCCCCTCCTTGGGGACAGCTACAGATGGGTTTGGGTTGGAAGGGAGCTTAAAAATCCTCTAGATCCAACCCCCCTGCATGGGCAGGGACACCTCCCAGCAGCCCAGGCTGCTCCAAGCCCCATCCAACCTGCCCTTCAACACTGTCAGGGATGGGGCAGCCACCACTCTGGGAAACCTGGGCCAGGCTCTCACCACCCTCACAGCCAAGAATTTCTTCTTAATATCCATCTACATCTCCCCTCTTTCAGCTTAAAACTGTTCCTCCTCATCCTATCACTGCGCACCCTTGTCCAAAGTCCATCTTTCCTGGAGCCCCTTCAGGCACTGGAAGGTGCTCTAAGGTCTCCCTGGAGCCTTCTCTTCTCCAGGCTGAACACCCCAACTCTCCCAGCCTGGCTCCAGAGCAGAGCTGCTCCAACCCCTCAGATCATGGGCCCCAGGAAGGTGCTGGTTAATAATTAGCAGGCAGCAGCTGGTGGGGAAGATCAGAACGTGCTGATGCTCATGTCCCCCCCTGCCAGGTTCTGGCCCTGCCACCAAGAGCTCCAGCAGCCAAGAGAGGTGGCAGCAACGAGGTGGTTGCAGGGCTTTGTTTCTCCCCTTCCCCAGAGCTGGGAGTTTGCAGGTTGCTGGAATCATCCTTTTCCTGCTTTTTTTTTCCTCAGCTGTGTTTACCTTCCCCAGCAGAAAAGCTGCCTTGCAGGTGAGAGGGGAATTAACTGTGCCCTCAGATCCCAAGGAATAAACCCAGGTGGATCTTGGCATGTTCAGAGGGGCCTCTAAAAATAAACATGCACAAAAGCTTTTGAACATCAAAGGCTCCTGCTGCAAATGAGGTGGGGTTTTTTTTCATGCAAACCCAGGAGCTGCTGCTGTTCTCCAGGGGCTTTGCTGGTTTCAGCTTGTTGGGGGGGACATGGGGATAGCCAGGTCTGTCCCCAGGGATGGGGACACCAGAGCTGTCTGAGGCTTCATAGCAGGGTGTCAGAATAGCTTCAGTGCAGAGTTTTTGAGACAGTTTGACTGTTCCTGCAGTTTTTACACTGAATAAATGTCCTCACGGCTTCGTCTTCTCTGCTGGGAGGGGGGAGTGGAGGAATGAGGAGGTTTTAGGATGTGTAAAAAGTCTTAGGGGTGGGAGGAGATGAGAAGCTGGAGCCCAGAGGGGTGGTTGTGTCCTGGGCTGTGTCAAAAGAAGTGTGGGAAGCAGGGCCAGGGAGGGGATTGTCCCCTCTTGCTCTGGTGAGACCCCACCTGGAGTGTTGTGTCCAGCTCAAAGGGTCCAGAGAAAGGCCACCAAGATGGTCCCAGGGCTGGAGCAGCTCTGCTCTGGAGCCAGGCTGGGAGAGTTGGGGTGTTCAGCCTGGAGAAGAGAAGGCTCCAGGGAGACCTTAGAGCACCTTCCAGTGCCTGAAGGGGCTGCAGGAAAGCTGGGAAGGGGCTTGGGACAAGGGCAGGGAGGGATGAGACAAGGGGTGATGGTTTTAAACTGAGAGAGGGGAGACTGAGGTGAGAGATGGGGAAGAAATTCTTCACTCTCAGGGTGGTGAGGAACTGGGATGGGTTGCCCAGGGAGGTTGTTGATGCCCCATCCCTGGGGGTTTTTAGGGCCAGGTTTTGTGCCACCTGGTCTAGTGGTGGGTTCTCTGCTCATGGCAGGGGGGTTGGAGCTTGATGATCTCTAAGGTGCCTTCATGATTCTGTTTAAAGACTTCTCTTTGCTTGTCTCTGTCTTCCCTCTCCTGGTGCTTCCCATGTCCCAGCAGTGCTGCCAGCCCATGGCTCCTGACCCCCGGGAGGTGCAGGCTGATGTGCCAGCCCCTCATTCCCAGGATTTTAGGGGATTTTAGAGGCTTTTGTGTTTCTCAAATCCACCTTTTCCCTCCAGGGAGCCCTCTCGAGGCAGGAGCCATCCCCTGTCTCTCTCAGCTCCATAGCACTGCAGATCCAGCTCTCCTTGTTTTCTTCTTGAATGTTGATGTAACATCACCCGTGGCTTCTTTCTAGGGCTTTTTATTTTTTCTTTTGGTGGAAATAGGTCCTAAAAATGTGAGAAAAGCCCATAAATAGGTGCCAGTGTGAGTGTCTGTTTGGCTTGGGTTCCCTGGCAAGGCAGCTCTCAGCTGGCACTGCTGAAGGGGACACTGGAGATGCTGCCAGGTCCACAGCAGGAGTCACAGAGTCATCAGGGTTGGAAAGAACCTCTAGAGACCAACTAGTCCCAACCCCCCTGCTCCAGCAGGATCCACCTACAGGAGGTCACAGACAGGAGGGCACCCAGATGGGTTTTGAATGTCTCCAGAGAAGGGGGGGTGACACTGTGCTGCTGAAATGTGGGTGCTGTGTAAAAGGAGTGAGATGTTGCCTTGGGTTACCACGTCATCACAGAGTCATTGGATGCTTTGGGTTGGAAGGGACCTTGCAGATCATCTAATTCCAGCCCCTTCCAACCCAAAGCAGTCTGGGATTCTAGGATGGATTCTCGCCCATCATTCCTCAGGGATTTAACAGGGTGGTGGGACACCAGTGTCTCCTCCAGGATCCAGGCATGGGGAGCCTTGTTGTTGGGACATCTGGTTGTCCTGGGGGATCACAAGTTGCTGCTTGTGCTGTCTTGGCTCCTGCCACTCTTCCCAGCTCATCCCTTTAGGACAGGAACCCTTTGGGCAGGAGGAAGGTGAACATTTCAGGAGTGGAGACATCCCATTTTCAAATTTTAGGGGCAAAAATAGAAACGAAGCCTGTAGGTTTGAGAGGGGGTAAAAGTGTTTTCACTGCTTGGTTTGCTGACCTGGAACGAAGGGTTGGGAGGACCTTGGTGTCTTGCTTGTGGGCTTCTGTGTGGCCTTCTGACAGTGTTCCTCTTGGCTTTGCAGTGCCTTCTCCTAGTGCCTTGCTGGTGGACAACCCCGCGTCCTTCGGGAACGCCAAGGAAGTGGTAGCCATCAAAGACTACTGCCCCACTAACTTCACCACTTTGAAGTTCTCCAAAGGGGACCACCTGTACGTCCTGGACACCTCAGGAGGTGAGTGGTGGTATGCTCACAACACCACGGAGATGGGCTACATCCCTTCCTCCTACGTCCAGCCGGTGACCCACCGCGACTCCTCCCTGACCGACAGCGGGATGATCGACCACCTCCTGGAGGGCCCTGACGAGGGGGTCAGGGAGTTGGACCTGCTTGGAGAATGGACTGAAGCCCAAAGAAACTCCCTGAAAACCTACCACAACAACCCCTTCTTGAACGGGGTCCAGACCAACCCGTTTCTCCATGGGAACGGTGGGCAAACGGTGCCCGGCTCGGACCTGGAGCCCAACGTCGCCGTCGACTTGTTGCTCTTTGACACGGGGGCTCCTGCTCCAGGGCTCTCCAGCTCTGCTGCCAACAGCAGCCTGGGGAACATCTTTGATGAGTTTCCTTCCACGAACGGGCTGGATCTGGAGCAGCCTGTGAGAAGGGACAATCCTTTCTTCAGGAGTAAACGCTCCTACAGCCTGTCCGAGCTGTCGGTTCTTCAGGCCAAGTCGGAGGCTCCGGCGGCGGCGGCGGGTTTTGGGTTGAAGTCTCCCACCCCCGAGCAGTTCCAGAGCAGGGAGGACTTTAGGACAGCGTGGTTGAACCACAGGAAGTTGGCTCGGTCTTGCCACGACTTGGATTTGCTTGGTCAAAACCCTGGCTGGGGGCAGACTCAACCGGTGGAGACCAACATTGTCTGCAAGCTGGACAGTTCTGGTGGGGCCGTTCAGCTTCCTGACACCAACATCAGCATCCACGTGCCAGAGGGACACGTGTGCCCCGGGGACACCCAGCAGATCTCCATGAAAGCCATGCTGGACCCGCCGCTGGAGCTGAACAGCGACACGTGCAGCACCATCAGCCCCGTCCTGCAGATCAAGCTGAGCAACATGGAGGTGAAGACCTTCCTCGTTCTGCAGATGAAGGTGTCGGCGGAGGTGAAGGACGACCTCGTGAGCAGGAGTTTGGTGGGACTGCAGTGCCTGAGGAGCGACGTGAAGGAGGGGCCCTACACGCCCCTGCAGCTGAGCTGCTCCTATGGGGACACCATCCAGGTGCAGCTGGAGAACCTGGAGCCTTGCATGTACGTTGCAGCCGTGGCCCAGGGGCAGAACATCCTCTACCCTTACACGGTCTGGGATTACATCCACAAGAAGGTCACGGTGGGGGTCTACGGCCCCAAGCACATCCACCCTTCTTTCACCACCGTGGTGGCCCTCTTTGGGCACGACTGTGCTCCCAAGACCCTCCTGGTGAACGAGGTCACCAGGCAGTCCCACAGCCCAGCTCCCGTCGCCCTCCAGCTCTGGGGCAAGCACCAGTTTCCCCTGCCCAGGCCTCAGGACCTCAAGCTCTGCATGTTCTCCAACATGACCAACTACGAGGTGAAAGCCGGTGAGCAAGCCAAAGTGGTGAGGGGCTTCCAGGTGAAGCTGGGCAAGGTCAGCCGCCTCATCTTCCCCATCGCCTCCCAGGACCCCAACGAGCTCTCGGACTTCACGCTGAGGGTCCAGGTGAAGGATGACACGGATGCCATCCTGTCCCAGTTCTGCGTCCAGACGCCGCCGCCGCCGCCCAAAAGCGCCGTCAAACCCGCGGGGCAGAGGAGGTTCCTGAAGAAGAACGAGGTCGGGAAGATCATCCTCTCCCCTCTGGCTGCCACCACCAAGTACCCGGTTTTTCAGGACAGGCCAGTGTTGAGCCTGAAGTATGGGAAGCTGCTGAAGACCGTGGTGAGGCAGAGCAAGAACCACTACCTGCTGGAGTACAAGAAGGGAGACGTCGTCGCCCTCCTGAGCGAGGAGAAGGTCAGGTTGAAAGGGCAGCTGTGGACCAAGGAGTGGTACATCGGCTACTACCAGGGAAAGGTGGGCCTCGTGCACACCAAAAACGTGCTGGTGGTGGGGAAGGTGAAGCCCAGTTACTTCTCCGGGCCGGATCTCACCACCAGCTTGTTGCTGGAGCAGATCCTGAGGCCGTGCAAGTTCCTGACCTACATCTACGCCTCGGTGAGGACCCTGCTGATGGAGAACCTCAGCAGCTGGAGGTCCTTTGCTGATGCTCTGGGCTACTTGAACTTGCCACTTACCTTCTTCTGCCGAGCGGAGCTGGACAGCGAGCCAGAGAGGGTGGCTTCTGTCTTGGAGAAGCTGAAGGAAGACTGCAACAACACGGAGAACAAGGAGAGGAAGTCCTTCCAGAAGGAGCTGATGACGGTGAGTCTGAGGTCCCCGGGCTGGGAGAGGGGTCTTAATTCCCTGCCATCCAGAGGGATGAAGGGATGGTGGGGGTTTCCTCGTTCAGTCTAGAAGATGAAGTCCATCCTGAGGGTTGTCTTCAGGCTGGAAGTTCAGCCCTCCTGTTGGCTGGGTTCCTTGGCCATGAAGAATTAATTTCACACATTGGGTGAAATGCCAGAGGTGTGTGTTGAGGGAGGGTGGCCAACAGGCTTGCTGGTGAGGAAGCCCCTCAGGTCAAGGAGATTTTTTGGTCCAGTGTTGTGTAGCTGGTCCCTCCTGGGGACCTGGGTTTTTTTGTTTCAGCCTTCAACGATGGTACTTTGAGGTCTTCTCAACCCCCGTGTCAAAGGGTGCCTTGTTGAAGGCAACACTGGTGGAAAACTGGGGGGAAAAAGGGCAAGAAACACAAAAGCTTCTCCTACGTGGAGTGGGGTGGAGGAGCCACCTCACAGACCCTTGCACCTCTGCATGATGGGTGGGTCAAAGTGTGCTGGAGAGGGGCTTTGTGGCTGCTGGGGAGGATGGTGCTACACCTTGGCCTTGATGGAACCACCTCCAGTTCAAACTCAAGGCAGGAAAACATCCCTCTTCCCAAGGGATGCCTGGAGTGCAGAATCCCAGAGCAGGTTGTTGTTGGGTTTTTTTCCATGTGTCCATGGAGGCCAGTCTGGAGCTTTGGCTCCTTTTCTGGGAGAGTCTGTCCATGAAGGACAAGCTCCCTTCTTCTCTGGTGCTTCCCAACCCTTTGCTGCTCCTCCTGAGCTTCTGGAAGAGTTGGGCTGAGCCTGGTTTTGAAAGAGAGAAAATGGAGCTTTCAGGGCAGGAGGAGAGAGCAAGAATGTGGTTTATTTGTGCTGAAATCTGGTTTTATTCCTGAGAAATGGGGTCCCTTTCTGGTGTCTGCTCAGCTGGATGAAGTTCTGGCCCTTGCAGCTCCCAGTTGGTTGTCTCACCTCAAAGGAAGGAGAAGCAGTGAGCAGCCTTATCTGGCTTCAAGGTTGGGTACACAAACCTGCAGTTGGCTGCTCCAGCAGCCAAGTGTGGCAGAGCCTGGTCCTGGGGACTAGTTAATAAGTCATCTGCTTTTAATGATTCTTTTTTTCCCTAATCTGGGCTGAGCAGCAGCCCGTGAAGGTCACCTGGGGGGGATGTAGCTTTGAAGTGAGTCACCAGGGAGGAACCTGCCCCTCCTCTCTGCCCTTGCAGAGTTGGTGGTGGGAGAAGACCTCAGCCCTTTGTTCTGCTGCCTTTCTTCTGCCAAAAAGAACCTGCTTCTCCTCAAGGGTCTGCAGACCCCCAGGGGTTGTCTCGAGCATTGGAATAGTTTGCCCAGGGCAGTGGTGGAGTCACCATCACTGGAGGCATTGAGATGGCACGTGGACCTGGTGCTTAGGGACATGGTTTAGTGGGAAGGCTTGTGGTGTTTGGTCTGATGATCTTGGAGGTCTCTTCCAGCCAAAGAGATGCTGTGATTCTGTGCTGGTGGGCTCAAGCAGTCCTTGGTGTCCTGCAGAACTGGGCCTGCATTGCTTGGACCTGGTGCTGGCTCATCCAGAGCATTCCAGCTCCTCCATCTGCTGGCTGATGCTCACCCCTCTGCTGAATCTGGGTCCAGGGGAAAGCCTGATTCCTGATCCCCCACCACTTACATATGCCTAAAGCAAGTGTTATGTTGGGGAGCCCTTGTCCAGAACCAGCTTGTCCAGGCCAAAAACCTGAGCTGCATCCTGGAGAAGACAACAAAGAGGCAGGAGCTGGTGCACGAGCATCCTCTCATCCCACAGGTCTCCCTGGTCCCTTTCTGTAGCAGCTTCAATGGTAGGTCTTGCACCGTGCTTGGTGGGCACAGGTGAACTTGGTGATGCTTCCTGTTCCTGGGGCAGAGGAGGAAGGGTCTTGCTCCTTTAGTTTGGAGGCTGGAGATCGTTGAATCACAGAACCGTTTGGGTTGGAAAAGACCTCGAAGGTCATCAAGTCCAACCACTGACCCAGCCCTGCCAAGGCCACCATGTCCCTCAGCACCTACAGGGCTTTGAAATCCCCCCAGGGATGGGGACTCCACCCCTGCCCTGGGCAGCCTGGGCCAGATGGGGAAGAATCATGACCATTCCAGCAGGGATATCTCCTCCAGAGAGCTGCACGTTTGTGCTTGGGGGGGTGAGCAGGGCTGGAGCCTCCCAGAGCCCTTCCTGATCCACAAAGGTTGTGGTGATGGGCACGGGCAGGGGTGGCCAAGCATCTTCAGGTGGTCCTTGGGGTCACCTCTTCCTTCTGGCTTGGCTTGCTTGCTCCCAGGTGCTGGTTTCCATCACTAGAAGAGGATGGGAAATGGGATCCTGCATTTCAGAGCCAGGATGCAAATTCAGCCTCCCCTGGGTGCCCTTTCAAGTGGAGACAATTCCCTGCTGCTTTGAACTGGGATTTGAATATCAAACCACCTCCTTAGCTGGCTGGGAGCTTCTCTGAGGTTCATTAATGCTTTGGAGGTTAATTAATTCTTCAGAGAGTGCTGATGAGGCTCGACCCAGGTCGTGCCTTGGCAGGGGAGCAGGGCTGGGTGGGCAGGGCTGGAGACATTCCAGGTGGGGCCTCCTGGGGAGGTTTGTCCAGGCTAAGGGAGGAGGCTGGAAAGAAATTGTAGCCTAATCCCAGAAGCACCTGCTGGAGGGTTGAGGATGATGTGAGTCCTGCTTATCCCAGCTGGGCAGCCAGGGCTTCCAGGAGAGCCCAACGGGGCTTTCATGGATTTCTGTGACAAAAGGAGTGAGTTGTGCCCAGGCTGAGAAACCTGTGATGCTGGTACCACTGATATTCCACCTTGGGTTTCTAGCTTGGTGGCCCCGTGTCCTTCCTGCCCCCTGTCCCCACTTGGCTTTGGTGCTGTCCTTGCCTCCCATCATCTCTAGGCAAGTCACCCGTGTTTCCTCAGCCTGGAGGCTGCACGTTGAGCCTCCCTGGCTCAGATCAACCAGGGGCCAAAGGCAGGATGTGTTGCTGTGGCCATCAGTAGGGTTCAGAGTTAACGTGCTGCCCTTTGAGGAGCAATCCCAGCTCTTCCAAAGCTGTTGCTTGGAGTGGTGATGCAGTTCTGGATTCCCTGGCCTCCCAGCTGCTTTTATTTGATGCTGTTTCCCTTGGGGCAGGAGGGAACTGGAGGATTTGCTTCCTGCAGCTCTTGTTCTCCTTAACCCCTGCGGCACAGGTCGCTCCTGGTGGCCTCAGAGCTGCTCAGCCTCTGGCAAGAGCTGAGAGCAGCTCATCTCACCTGCTTTGCTGAGCACCAGGTGGTCCTGGGGGTTGCAGGCAGGCAATGGAGCTGCCTGGAAGCTCAGGATGGAGGGTGCTGAGCCCACCCTTCCTTGGGACCACCCGGCTCCTCCATCTGCAGAGGGGAGGGGGATGGATCTGGGGGCTGGGTGGGAAGGCAGCCTGGCTGGAGAGAAGGCTGGGAGGGGCCAGGTGGGAGCCCTAAATGCTTCTTCATGCACCAAAATGGATGTTGTTTTAAGTGTCTCTTCCTTGCTGGCCTAGCAGGAGGGGTGGTTGCTTCTCTCCTGGTGCAGTGGGAGCACTGGAGGAGCAAACAACCTCTGCTCTGCAGCCGTGATGGGATCCCAGCCCAGCTTGAAGCTGGAAGCAGATAAGGGAGGAATCGACCTGCATTGGCTTTGCAAATTGCCTGAGTGGTTTCAGATGTTCCCCTCTTTCTCCCCACTTTGCAAAGCTGTAACCCTCCTCCTGCTCCCCAGCTTGGGCTTTGCCCAGACCCCCCCGTGTGCCAGGAGGGGATGTTGGGACCCACAGCAGCAGCAAAGTGGGCAGGTTCTGACCATGTGTGGCCCACAACACCCATGGTTTCTCTACCATGCAGTTGTGAAGGTCTGCAGGTGATGTCCCCGAGGGGGACACGTGTGCCACCAGGCTTCCTGGGGTCCTCAGCATCCCTGGAGGGATGTCCCCTTCATCCCTGAGCTGTGGGTGGTGTTTGTTGCAGTGGGAGCCCCCTGTTATAGCAGGGATCCCTTGGTGTTCACCCATCCTGAGCCTGCTGGTGTCAGGACCCTGGATCTGGAGAATAAGGAGGCTCAGCAGCCCATCACCCAAGGCATGTCCTGGGCTCTCTTCCCTTGGTTTCCAGGTTCTAAAAACAGGGATGTCTCTTTCCAACCACCTTCCTGGAGCCACTTGAGGTTCCAGGTGGGATTGGTCCAGGGGTTCTGGAGCTCTGGTGAGTGGGATGTTGATCCTCTGCTCATGGCCCCTTCAACCCATCCTTTGCTGGGCTGACTTGTGGACTTTTCCCCCTGTTGCAAGTTGCTTTCCAACCCCGAGCAGATGGGTTTTGTTTGTTCTCCTGGCTAAGCTGTTGCCAGCCAGGAAGCTCTGAGGGCTGCAGTTCCTCTTCCCCACTTCTTCAGAACCACTTGTGGGACATCTCAGCTTGTAGGTCCCTACAGGACACAGGAGAAGGGCTTTGCCTGCCTGGACCATAAGGTTGTCTTGTCTTTTTGAGGGGCTGTGTCAAGCCTGGTGGTCTCATTTCACCAGTAGAAAGTGGGTGGGAGGGTGTTGTGGGGTTTTTTTTGGGGGGAATGGGTTCCTGAGGACTTCCCTGCATGGTTTCTTGGGTCTCACCTGCCATCTCCTGCCTGCCCTGACTCTGGTTTTCACCCCTGTCCTTCAGGCCTTGCTGAAGATGGACTGCCAGGGGCTGGTTGTCAGGCTGATCCAGGACTTTGTGCTGCTGACCACGGCTGTGGAGGTGGCCCAACGTTGGAGGGAGCTGGCTGAGAAGCTGGCCAAGGTCTCCAAGCAGCAGATGGATGCCTACGAGGCCCCACACAGGGACAAGATGGGAGCAGTGGACAGTGAGGTGAGAGCAGATGGGTCTTCATAGAGTGGATCAGTGGTTTGGATAAGGAAGGGACCTTTTAGATCTGGAGCAGCTCTGCTGTGGGGACAGGCTGGGAGGGTTGGGGTGTTCAGCCTGGAGAAGAGAAGGCTCCAGGGAGACCTTAGAGCAGCTTCCAGTGCCTGAAGGGGCTCCAGGAAAGCTGGGGAGGGGCTTGGGACAAGGGCAGGGAGGGAGAGGACAAGGGGGAATGGATTAAAACTGCAAGAGGGGAGATTTAGGTGAGACATGAGGAGGGAATTGTGGAGTGTGAGGGTGGTGAGAGCCTGGCCCAGGTTGCCCAGGGAAGCTGTGGCTGGCCCCTCCCTGGCCGTGTTGAAGGGCAGGTTGGATGGGGCTGGGAGCAGCCTGGGCTGGTGGGAGGTGTCCCTGCCCATGCAGGGGGGTTGGAACTGGATGATGTTTAAGGTCCCTTCCAAACCATTCCAGGATTCTGTCATTCTATGATCTTCAAGATCCAACCCCCTGCATGGGCAGGGACACCTCCCACCAGCCCAGGTTGCTCCAAGCCCCATCCAACCTGCCCTTCAACACTGCCAGGGATGGGGCAGCCACAGCTTCCCTGGGCAACCTGGACCAGGGTCTCCATGGGTCCTCCTAGGGTTGTAGATACCCCCAGATCACATTATTCTGAAGCACCTTTGGGGGACAAAGGGATTTGGGTGAGCTGGGCAAACATGGGGGTGTTTTTCCCTGGGAATGTCCTTGTTCTGGGACATGGTGGGGGGGTGTTGAGGACATCATCACTGACCATCCATCTCAGCTCTGGTCTCCTCTGCCCCACAGGCCATGTGGAAGCCAGCATATGATTTCCTTCTCACCTGGAGCAGCCAGCTGGGTGACAGCTACCGGGATGTGATCCAGGAGCTGCACACAGGGCTGGACAAGATGAAAAACCCCATCACCAGGCGTTGGAAACATCTCACTGGCACCTTGATCCTCGTCAACTCCTTGGACATGCTGAGGGCAGCTGCCTTCAGCCCACAAGACCACGAGGACTTTGCCATTTAGCTCCTGTGGGGATTTTTTGGTGGTTTTATTTTCCACCCACATCTCGTCGGATGGGGGTGGGTTGGTTTTTTTTGGTTGGTTTTTTTTTTTTTCCCTCCTTCCCCTTTTGTTTTTTAAAGCAGTTGACTTGAAAAGAAGAAGAGGTTCTTCTCTCTGTTTTTTTCAAGAGGCCAGAGTTTGGAAATTCTCCACCAGGACTGGACAATCAGCAGGAGACACTGACTGGGGAGGCCTCCAGAGAGAGGTGGTTTTTCATACGGCGTCGACACCAGTCGAACTATTTTCTTACTCAACAGAAACAACTTTGGGGGGGTCACACACAAAAGGAATCACCTTTTCTTTTTTAGGCATTTACAAATAAAAAAAATCTAATGTTTGTAAGGAGCAGTAAAAGGTTGGATCCACTTTGGGGGAATGCATCTCATATGCTAACTAAGCCAGACTATTTTTTTTGCAATTTGCTGAAAAAATATTATGGTATCTAGGACATGGAGACAAAACCATGAGTCATGGTTTGATACTTGAAGAGGAAACCCAGTCCATCCCAGTTCCCTCCTCCACCCCCACCAGCGTGGTCAGGCCTTGGCAGCCTCCCAGGCCTGCCTGCAAAGCAGAAAGTTTGGGATCTAACTCAGCACAAACAGCTTCCGACACCAACAAAAAAAAATGAGCTTTCAGTGTCATCGTTCCCGGGGCCTCTTGGGTTGATTTCTTTTCTTGGTGGTTAAATTTCAGCCTGCAAACAGGCAGGCTCATTTCTGGCAAGAGGAGGTGCTGGTTGCCTGTTTTCAGAGGAACGTGGCTCCTTTTTAGCCAGGAGAAGAAGCCTCTGCCCCTTTGTGCTCCGTCCTACCCTCGTACCGGGTAGGACGTCTCTGGAGGAAGGGTTGGGGGTCAGCAGGGACCTCCTTGCTGGGACAGACCAGGAGGATGGTGAAAGTGGCTCCCCCTGCCTTGGCTGCTTGGGTTGCTCCTCTCCTGCTGCTCCTGCTCTGGGGGAAGAGGTAAAAAAGGGGAGGAAATTGGTGCCATCCATGTGTCCTTTTACAGGATAAGAGGAGAAGAGAGAAGTTTCTCCTGCTTTGAACCCCGGGTTCACTGGAGGTGCCCCAGATGTTGCTGCTCCCTTGCCATGGGTCTCAGAGGGCTTGGGATGAGGCTCTTCAAGCTTCCTGCAGTCCAGTTGACCTTGTAGAAGTCTTTGCTGTCAAACCTGGTGCCATGGAGGCTCAGTGTTAGCAGCACCAAGTGCCCACATCCAGGGAGGTGGTGGAGTCACCATCCCTGGGTGTGTTGCAGGGTCGTTGGGATGTGGTGTTGGTGGAAATGGTTTAGGGGAGAACTTGGTAGAGAAGGGATAATGGTTGGACTGGGTGATCCCAAGGGGCTTTTCCAACCTGAACAGTTCTAGGATTCTGTGCTGTTTGCTCCCTGCTGCTTTTTCAGCCATGTCTTCTGAAGGGGCTCCCCTCCTTACTCCCTCTCCCTGCCTCTCTTGGATTGTTTTCCCAGGGCAGGGAGGTGTTGCTTGCACAGGAAGATGGTTTCCAAGTGCCAAGCCTCTTCTTCTGATGAAACCCAAGCAGGTCAGTTGGGGCAGGATGATTTTTTTCCTTCAGGTGGAGCCAAACAACAACAAAGGGGAAGGGCAACCAGCAGCCTCCAGGGGGGCTGCTCTCTTTTCCCAAAAAAAACACTTCCCTAGGAACAGTGTCTCTTCCTGGACCCCCCACCAGAAGTAAACAGCACCTGAAGTTCTCCTGAGGGGCTTCCAGGGGTTTCCTGTGCAACTCACCATGGCACAGGGAGGGTCCAGCATCCCAGCCATCCCATTTGTTTCCCCATTTTAAGGAAAAAAAAATGGGGGAAAACAATGCTACAATTAAAGCTGTTACTGCTCCAGTGCTCCCAAGTAGATGTCACCTACTCTTGGCTCTTCATCTCACAGCAGCTTGGATGGGTGGGAGCAACCTGGGTTTTCCACCTCTCAGGTGGGTTTCTCCTAGCACTTTTCTCCACCATTCCATCCTGCCCCCTCTGAGGGAAGGTCACTGGGGATGATCCAGGCTCCCAAACTGCTCTTCATGCTCAAGTTAAGGTAGGAGGTAAGAGCTGGTGGCAAGATCTGAGCAGCCTGGGCTGGTGGGAGGTGTCCCTGCCCATGCCGGGGGCTTGGAACTGGATGATCTTTAAGGTCCCTTCCAACCCAAACCATTCCATGATCTGTTTTGGCATGGAGGTGTTTTCCTGGCTGTTCCCTGATGGAGAAGACATCCTTGTTATAGCCAAGGTGGTTGTGGGGTTTGTTGTACCAACAAAGTTCAGCTTCCAGGCCACGGAAGGGAAATATCCCAACATCTGGCCATGGCTTCAGTTGGGCAAGGATGAAGAAGAAGTTGGGATGGTTTGGTTTCATCCTTGGCATGAGGTTCAGCACGAGGAGGCGTGTGGTGGCAGGGAAGATGTGTCACACTCAAGGACCCTGCTTGGGACCTTGTGCCACCTGTGCCCAGGTGGGTGTTTCTGTCCTGAAAGCCTCAATTTCTCCTTCCAAGAAGAGGGGTCTTGGAGCAGGATGCAGAGTGGTGGCTGCTCCCTGCTCATTCCAGGCCAACTGGAGCTGGAAAGAGGACAGGCTGGGAGAGTTGGGGTGTTCAGCCTGGAGAAGAGAAGGCTCCAGGGAGACCTGAGAGCAGCTTCCAGTGCCTAAAGGGGCTCCAGGAAAGCTGGGGAGGGGCTTGGGACAAGGGCAGGGAGGGAGAAGACAAGGGGGAATGGATTAAAACTGCAAGAGGGGAGATTGAGGTTGGACATGAGGAGGAAATTGTTGGCTGTGAGGGTGGTGAGAGCCTGGCCCAGGTTGCCCAGGGAAGCTGTGGCTGCCCCATTGTTTCCCATTTGGGATGTCTGCTTCCCTGGGACAAGAGTATCACAGAATTCAAATTTGATGTTATTAAAAATACAAGGGGGAAAGGGAGCATCTCCTGTGGAAAAATAGCCCCAGGAAGGGCCTTGTGGCTCTACAATGGAACATGTGAACTCAAGAGCTCTCCCAGAAGCAGCTGATGCCAGGGTGTGAACAGCTCATAGGTGGTGGCAATTGGAGCAGGGTAGGATTTCAGGTGATGGACATGAATAGGGTCCCTGGGCAGGGGGCATGGAGAAGGTGGAGGTGCAACATGGCATGGTGTCCCAGTCAGGTGGAATAGCAGCTCTCTCTGCAGCCAACACTAACCAAGGGTCTGACATGCAACCTGTTGGAAGATGACACTCATAAATTTGGTTGAGCTCCATGTCCTGTGACTGCTGGAGGAAAGCATCACCTGGGTGGGCAAGAGGAGCCATCCTGGAGGCATGGTCACTGACAGCTTCCATCACCCCTGGCAGTGTTGAAGGGCAGGTTGGATGGGGCTTGGAGCAACCTGGGCTGGTGGGAGGTGTCCCTGCCCATGCAGGGGGGTTGGAACTGGATGATCTTTAAGGTCTCTTCCAACCTGAACCAGTTTGGGATTTTCTTCCTTCCTTCTCAGCAACCTGTGACTTAGTTCTCAAAGAGATGCCCAGGATGGATGGATCCTGCTTGGATCTGCCCCAGCAAAGAGGGGGAACACCATGTGTTGTCCCCCCTCCAAGATAATCCAGGCTGGTAGCATTTCAGAGAAGCAATCTGCTCCACTGGCTTCTGAAGGGAGATCAGATGGTTAGATAAGCCTGCTCTCTGGCCAGGGAGGGGATTTAGGACCTGCTGCTGGTTGTGCAGCCCAGGCTGCTGGGTCACTTTGATTAGCCCATGAGACCTTTCCCCCACCCTTAACAGCAGGGGAATGGATGCTGGGAGCACTTGGTGGCTCCTGGGAAAGCAGGATGGAGTGACAGCAGCTTTCCTCCTGCCCTGGTGTCCTGGCTGGAGCCAGGAGAGAACCCAATTTCCTCTTGTGATCTTCACACTGAAGTCCCTTCCAAGGGGCAGGGCAGGAGCTCTCTCTGGGAAAGGTGAGCTTGGAGGTGTCACCTCTCCCTGAACAGGCAGGGAGGAGATGTTTGTGGATGGAGATTTCCTCGTGGGGGTTTTTTTTCCCCCAGGGCTATAGACCAAGCTGTGGCCCAAGCCCAGTTGCCACACTGGCTCCTGGAGCTCCAGTGCCAAAGCCAGAAGAGCAGTTTGCTCCCTCTCTGTGTCCAGCAGGGCACGTTCTTCCCTGGGGAGGGCCAGGCTGGCCCACATCTTATGCCTGGTTGCCCTTGGCAGTTGCTTTCCCCAGGTTTCATCAGGCTCACCTATAAATAACTCCTGAGGAACAGCTCTGCAGGTGATAATCCAGCTGAAAGTTCCTGGCTCGTTAGTGTCAGCTCCTTGCCATGGGATGGGACATCTCCAGTGCCAAGCTGTGGGGTCCAGCTCTTCCCCTGGGATGCTGCACAGGGGTCCCAGAGAAGATGCTGGGGCCAAGACAAGTTGTGGGGCAACCTCCACCATGTCCCCAGGGTGGGGGGTTTCCTATCAGCATGACCCCTGCATTGCTCCTCAGGCTTCTGTGGAGGAGGGCAGGGTGGTGGTCAGCAGTCCTGCAACCCCAAAGCAGCCTTGTTTGTACATGTAGAGGGGGGAGGGGGTGGTTTTGGGTTGAGTTGGCTCTTTGTTTTTGCCTTTTTTGAAGAGGCTGGTGCTGCTCCTGAGTGTGAAGATCCAAGTGAGAGGACCTGGATCCACCTGCAGGTCTTGGGAGCCCAGCACAGGGGAGGAGGAGGAAGAGGAAGAGTTTGCTTGCAGGTCATTGCTGTTCCTTGCTCTGCCCTTCAACAAAGAGCAAAATTCAGCTTCTTCTTGTGTCTTGCAAGGAGGTGAGTCCCCTTCTGAGAGCTGTGTCCCCGTGGCCCAGGGGTCCTTTTGGTGGAGCAGCTCGAGCTCTGCCCAGTGCTCCCTTGGCAGTGGGAAAACCTCCCTCACCCCTGGGGCCTGCAGGGCTGGGCTGAAGCTGCAGAAACCCTGTGGCTGCAGAAAAAATGTCACTAATTCCTGTCATTTCCTGTGCCCTGGCTGGTGGGAAGCAGCAGGAGATGCCAAATACTTCCTCCCACAGGAGCCAGGGCTGCTGTGTCCCCAGGACAACCCCCCATCCCAAAGCCCAAGAGGCTGAGGGTCACCAGAAGAGCCAGGGCTGTTGTGTCCCCAGGCTCCTGCCTCAGTTTCCCCTTGTGGGAAGTGGCCCAAGCTCAGCTCTGTTGCTTAGAAATGATTCGTGGGTGACAATTCCCCCTTCTCCCTGTAAGGGAAGCAGGGGCTTGGGCTCGCTGGATGGATCAGATTAAGGGGTGAGAAGAGGGAATGACATCCCCAGGGCAGCTCTTCCCTTGAGGTGGGAAGGCCCCAGGTGTTGTGGTGATGCTGCAGCCCCTCTGGCTCCCTCCTCTGCACCAAAGCCCCTTGTCCCATGGGAGTTTGGCCCCTAATTCCCTCTGAAAACGACCCCCCTGCAGCTGGGTCTGTATTCCTGGAGGATGGGTGGATAAACTATGGAGCTATGGAGTTCCACCAACCCACCTTCTCCTTGTTCCCTTCTGTTAGTGGTGTTGTAGTGTCCTCTGCTGGGCAGGGTGGGATGGTTGTCCAGTCCTGGCCCCAGCGTCCCCATGGACCCCTCTGTGGGTGAGCCAAGGGGAAACAAAGAGCAGGACAAAGTAGTTGAGGCTAAGGAGAGTGAAGGGAAAAGGTGAGGAGGACCATACCTGGTCCCCTCTGCCATTTTGCTTTTGGCTGTGTTGGAGATGGTTCTGACATGAAGCCACAGGGAGGATATTTGTTCTGGTTTGGGTTGGTGGGTTTGAGGGAAGGGCCCCAGAGGTGGCTCCTGTAAGAAGCTGAGGAGCTGCCCCTGCTCCAAACCAGCCAAGGAACCATTAGAGAGACAGTAGATGAACCTCTGCCATTGACATGTGGAAGGGG